TAGAGGCCTGAGGCTTGAGAACTCAGGGCTCTCTGTGGTGTCCATGGCTTTTTGGAGAGAGAATAAAATTTATGTCTGAACGGTCTCTGCCTATATGGAAAGGGCTCTGGGACCCCAGGGCTCAGGAGGGCCCCAAGGCAGTTACCCGCCGTGTGGCAGGTAGGGCAAGCATGAAGCCATCGACCTTTAGGCTGCTGTTCAGAGACAGGTCAAGTGTCTCACCAGAAGTGACCAGGGCCATGTGCCTGTGGCTGCCCTAGAAGACGCTTCTCCAGACCCACCCCCCTGGCCACCCCTCCCTCCAGGCTGGGGACAGTGAAGCACACAGGAGTCAGATTGCAGCATTTATTTGACACAGTGAGGGGCAGGGCAGGCAGTGGCAGGCCATGGCCTCCTGGGCAGGCCTCCTAGAGCCACAGCAGCTGCTCTTACTGAACCAGCTTGAAGGACTCTCCGGTCATCATGGCCACGAACTCTGGGGGCAGAGGCACAGGTCAGCAGCCTGGATGGCCTGGCCGCTCAGCCCAGGGCCTGCCCCACTCACCCTCATAGTCGATGGTCCCGTCTCCGTCCTTGTCTGCCTCTTTCATCATCTGCTCAGCCTCCACCTCGTTGAGGGGCTCCCCTGCATTCATGAGCACGTACCTGCCGGACCCCCACACTGAGCCGCTCCAGGGCCCTGCCCGTGCCCTCCTGTGCCCACCCCACCGTCCAACCCCTCCACCCTACTTGAGTGTGTTCCAGTCGATGTAGCCCTTGCTCTCCTTATCGAAGACCCGGAACGCTGCCCTCAGCTCTCCCTCCTGGTTCTGGGCCTTCTCATGGTAAATCCCCATCAGCGCCAAGAAACCATCACAGTTGAAGAAGCCTTTGTCTGCAAGAAGTTCGTCCCCCGTCCCCCTCAAGTAAGGGGTGGGCTGGGCCCCACTCCACCCCTCCGGTGGCTCTGCCTCCTCCCCACTCCTCACATATGTGAACCAACCCGGGGCTGCACCCCGCCTGTGCCACCGGCCCCAGCTCACTGTCTCTGTCCACGTCCTTGGCCATGGAGGCCAGTTCGCTCTTGGTGGGGTTGATGCCCAACAGGCTCATGAGCCGCTCCAGCTCTCCGGTCTTCACCTCCCCGTTGCCCTCCTCATCAAACATCTCAAAGACCCCCTTGTATTCCTTGATCTGCTCAGCGGACAGGCGCTCCGTCTGCAGGGGACACCCGCACCCAGTCTCACCAGGGGCTCTCTTGCCCCGCTGTCCAGGTGTGTGCACCTGGCCACCCTTCAGGGCACCCATGTGCTTAAAGAGGAGGTCTTCCAGGGCTGGGGATGTGACTCAGTTGGTACAGTGCTTGGCTCGCACCAGGCCCTGGGGTTCAATCCCCAGCACCACACACACACACACACACACACAAGGAGCCCCCGCCCCCCCGCACCCCAGCACAGAGCAAGCCTCTTAGATGAGCAAGGGCTTCAGGGTGAGCAGGGCTCTGAAAGGGACAAGAACAAGTGAGGCAGAGGGTTCAGGTAAGGGGACCAGGTGGGCACACAGGAGCCAGGGCACAGGTGAGCCAGGAGGGAAACAGCAAGGCTGCAGAGAAGCCGTGGGCCAGACCTAGGCCAAGGCAGTGGACACCAGGTGAGACCAGGTAAAGGGCACTGGGCAACAGTGTAGGGAGGAGCCCAACCAGACCAGGTGAAGGCCAGCCTGCAGCCAGAGCCCCAGGGGTAGCTTAAGGATGAGTCCTGGGGAAAGTCTAGCATCCAGCCCCTCTGCCAGTCCCCTCTGCCAGTCCCCTCTGCCAGTCCCCTCTGCCAGCCCCTCTGCCAGCCCCTGCAGCAGTGGTCCTGGGTGAACCTTCAGCAAGGGTTTTGGTGGGGCACAAAGACACAGGGCAGTGTTGTGGCAGAGTCTCGGCCTCTGCCCGCTCCTCAGCCCCTTCCCCAAGCCGCTCCTCAGGCTCCCGGAGAGGCCCTTCTACCTCCAGGCCCCCTCTAGCCATTCTCCTGGCCCAGAGGCCCACCCCAGCCCCCTCCCTACTGCAGGCTGCCCAGCTCGGGCTCGGCCACCCAGTCGCCCAGTGGCTCTCTGCTGCTGGAGCAGCCTTACCATGTCTGTGGCTGGTCAGGAGAGCAACGCAACACTGGCACAGCAAACCTGTGGGCAGAGCACGCGGCAGTGGCGGCAGCTGCGTTTTAGCTGCCTGGGGTCCCTGGGGTCCAGGCTCCAGAAGCCTTTTATGGGTGGAGATCCTACCGGCTCTATTTTGGGACAGCTCAACCCTTCCCCACAGGCCCCTTCCTGGTCTCCTTGGCCTGGGCATCCCCTTACCCTAAGATGCATGCCAGAGACAAGCACAGGACAGAGAGGCACTGGCCAGCTGCGGGGCCCTGATGCTGTTTCCTCTTCATGGTGCAGCCTCCTAGGAGGTCCCCCCAGAGGTTGGCCACCCCCAGAGCTGGCTTTCCTGTGTTCTGGGGACCCTCTTGCGAGGCTGGTGTCACCTATTTGTGAGACTTGTTGTGAAAGGCCCCTGACGGGCCTCGCCTAGATGCCTTCCACCCCCACAGGCCCAGACTTCCCAAAGACAGGTTGGTGGAGTCAGGGCACCCGGACCCCAGCCGCCTGCACAAGCCAGGCTGAGTGGCAGTTCAGGGAGGAGACTGCTGAACGTGAGCCCAGGTGGCCTGGGCAGCCGGCCTGGGGACCGACTGCTGCTGGGAGGCAGGGCCAGGCTTCCTCGGCAGCCAGGGGCTATTCTGAGGTTTCTTGAGGAAACCTGACCTGCCTTCCACTCAGAACAGCAAAGCTGGCTCCCTTGGGAGCCATGTGCCCAGGCGCCAGAGTGGCGCACAGACCTCTGCTCCCGCCTGCTCCCTCCCCAGAAGTGTGCCAGCTCCTCCCACCCAGGTCTACTGAACCACCACACAGCAGTGCTAGCCCCAAAGCCCAGCCTAGATCCTCTCTGCCCCAGCCAGCCAGGGTCCTGGCCACAGCCCTCAGGTTTTCAAGTGCAGACCAGAGCCTAGCAGGCTACGGTGCCCCTCCCGTCCCTCTTGGGCTGGCCCTCAGGGACAGTCATGACAGGCCCCACCTAGTTCCCTCCTCTGCCTGCCAGAACCTCCAAGGCCGCAGGGTGCTCCCTGTTGGGCTCCAGGCCAGCTGTTGATGCTGAAAGATTTGTGCTGACCATAGGGGCATCTCATGGCTGAGCTCAGGGCAGGACTGGAAGAGAACCCGGCTCTGGGTCTGGGGGGTGGAGTGGGATCCTGATCCTTCACTTTGGCCGCATTCTGGCCCTGTTTCCCCCTGGAGGCGGCGGGCTGTGTGCATCGAACACCTTTCCCAACAACACAGGATGTGGTGAGCCACAGCACCCAGATCCAAGCGCAGGGTTTGAGGTCCGGGTCTAAGCCAGCAAGTTAGAGACCATGTCCTTGTGGGCCTGGACAGTCACACCCAGCGACTGCCTCCTGCCTGTGGCTCACAGCCACGGACCACAGGCTTAGCCTATGGACCCCGAGACCCGTACGCCCCTAGGCTGCAGCACGGAAGGCCCCAGACGTCTCAGTGGCCTCATAATCCAGGCTCAGCTGCACCCCTGGCGCCAAGTCGGAGCTGAGGCAGCACCCCACCTTTCCCCTGGCTGCCTCGGAGCCAGCAGCACACCCGGCCAGGGCAGAGGCCACAGGTCCTCACCTTCCTGCCCTCTCCCACCTCACCTCTGTGTGGCCTCCAGGCAGGCCGTGTGGCCACTGCGAGAAATCAGATATCTTCTGTCTTGTGTCTCTTCTGATCACCGAAGAAAGAACAGAAAAACCCTAGAACAACTAAAACACCATTTAACCTTTTTTTCCCCCGGTACTGGGGATTGAACCCAGGGGCACTTTCCACAGAGCTACATCCCCAGGACTTTTGGTTTTTGAGATAAGATCTCCTCCAGTTGCCCAGGCTGGACTCGAACTTGTCATCCTCCTACCGCAGCCTCCCAAGTAGCTGGGATTTCATCCTTTAACCATTTTGAGGTGCACAATACAGTAGTATTAATGTGTGCACCCTGTAGTGCCAGAGGTCTCTAGAACTCTCATCTTGCAAAACAGAACCTCTGTTCCCCTTGAACAGCGCCCCTGTCCTCCCTCTCCGAGGTCCCTCCCCCAGCCCCAGCACCCAACTTTCGATTCTAACAGTCTGACTATTTGAAAGAGCTCGAGTATGTGGAATCAGACTGCAATTTCTCATTTTGTTTCTGGCGTATTTCACTTAAGAGTTAATTATGTCCTCGAGGTTCATCCCAGTGGGGCGGGACAGCACACAGCTGTAATCCCAGTAACTCAGGAGTCTGAGGAAGGAGGCTTGCAAGTTCAAGGCCAGCCTCAGTAACTTAGTGAGGCCCTGTCCCCAAATAACATTAAAAGGCTGGTGGTGTGGCTCAGTGGCAGAGTGCTTTCCAAGCATGCATTAAGACCTGGGTTACATCCCCATCACTACCAGAAAGAAAGGGAGACATGAGCATGTACATATGCATACACATCCTCCTGTCTCTCTGGAGAATTTCACATGGGAGGTCACCATGGGGTGGGAACGGCTCCCCGAGAGTAGTCTGTGACATCTCAGGAACAGTGTGCTCCGGGCACAGGGCATTCCATGCATTCTCTGGACAGGTGTGGACAGAGTCATGGGCACCTGAACCTGCAGACAGGCCAGAGTAGGTGGTTTGTATACGCAGCAACAAGAGCCTGGCCTTCCCTGGCCCTGGTGCTTCCCGGGGCAGGAGACCGTGACCCCTTCCTGGAGAAGAGGGGAGACACAGATATCATCTCATCTCCGGGGTCTCCAGTGATAAGACCCACAAGGACCACCCAGCCCTCCAGAGCGGCCACTGCTGCAAACCCACCTCACCTGCAGTCCACGCTAGGAGGGGACACTGAAGTCCCAGGGGGAATCTGACATCCCTCGGGGCTGGCGAGAGGCTCCCTCTGCCCAGTCCTCCTCCTCTTCCTGCTGCAGTGTCCAGCCCTGACACCCGGTTTCTGTCCCAAACTCCATCTTGGATTGGCTTCGGGGAGCCAGAGTGGTGACAAGGCCTGGCACTGGAATCCACTCTGGATGCCCAGCTGAGGCAGGGGCCCTGGGCATGTTGCTTTTGTCACTGGGGGTGAGCTGGGACGTAGGGGAGGTGGTCAGAAGGCTGCTGCCCAGCAGTGCTCCAAATGGTCAGGGGAGGGAAATTCCTGAGCGCTGGGAGCCAAGTGCGTCAGGGGCCGCCTGGTCACAGTTTCTCTGCCTCCACCTCCTGCAGGAGGGGAGAGCAGGAGAGCCCTACCCGTGGCTTCCGCTGGCGTGGGACCCAAGGTCAAGGTCAGGTCTTGGTGGGGCATCCAGGTGGCTGTCCCCCATGGATTGATCCCCAGGCCCCTCTGATTGCTTGCCTCTCCCTGAAGAGCTGATGCCCTCCCAGAGCTGGAACAACATCAGTCCCCCTGAGCCCACCCTGGTAGCTGTCGGCTGGCAAAGAAGGTTAAGCTGCTATACCACCCGGCGGGGACTGAGCTGCCCACACAGCGTCACGCACCTGGACAGCACATGGGAGTGGGATTCTGCATGCACACCCGCATACCAACAGGCACCAGCAGATTTTTTAAAAATTATTTGCTCTTATTAGTTATACATGGCAGTAGAACACATTTTGACATATTGTACATGTACAACATATGACTTCTCATTCTTGTGGTTGTACATGATGTATAATCACAGCGGTTGTGGAATCATATGTGAACATGGATAGTAATGTCTGGTTCATTCTACTACCTTTCCTACTCCCATTCCACCTCCTTTCCCTTTGTTCCCCTTTGTCTAGTCCAAAGTTTTTCTATTCTTCCGTATTCCCACCCCATTGTGAGTTAGCATCCACATATCAGAGAGAACATTCAGCCTTTGGGTTTTGGGGACTGGCTTATTTCACGTAGCATGATATCCTCCAGTTCCATCCATTTACGAGGAGATGTCATGATTTCATTCTTCTTCATGGCAGAGCAATATTCCATTGTTTGTATGTACTACATTTTCTTTATCCATGCATCCACAGAAGGGCACCTAGGTTGGTTCTGTAGTTTAGCTGTTGTGGATTGAGCTGAGGGAGCAGCTTCTGTTACCAACAATGAGGCTTCCTTGGCAACCACAAGCCAGGTCGCAGCGTGGGGGGCCCTGCCTACCTTCTTACCTCACTGGCTCAGCCCCGGACTCTCCTTCCCTTCCACCTTCAGCTCCCCATATGGCTTCCTGGAATTTCCCAGAAAAACTGAGTCCTCACCCCAGGATCTGCTTGTGGGGAGCCCAGCCTGGACAAGGAGTGTACAAACAAAGGGGAACCTAAACTCCAAACCCCCAAACCAACCCAAAATAGGAGAGGACGTGAGTTACAGATCCCAGTGCTGCTCGGGAGAGGGCCACAGATCTCCATTCAGGAAAAAGAAAATCTAATAGAGCCCAGGAAGGGAGAAAGAAACAAAGACAGCCGCCTAAGCCGGAGGGAGGACGGAGCAGGGGAGCACTGGGAAGGAGAGGATCCAAGTCCATTCTTCATGCACACCTGTGCCACCAAGAAACCCACGGTCATGTGCGAAAGATTAAAAGATAAACAGCATAGAAAACATAGGTAATGCCACAAAAGGGCATGCAGACCAGGCTCACCTACTACTGAGCAAGTAGGGTTACTGCCACACACCAGTGATCCTACTTACTCAGGAGGTGAAGCAGAACTCTAGCTCAGGGCCAGCCTGAACAACACAGCCCAAATGCTTCAAAATAAACTGTAAAAGGGGTGGGGGTGTAGCTCAGTGGTAGACCACCTGCCTAGCCTGAACAAGGCCCTGGGCTCAATCCCCAGAACCAGAAAAAGAAAAAAGTTAATCCACCTGCATGAAAGAGCTCCTAATGTCCAAAGCTGGTACCATTTGGGCAACAATATGAATCAAGTAGCTTTGGATTATAACCCAAGTACAAAATAAAATCCACTTTGTATCAAAGGACACCATAAATAGGCTGGAAAGGCCACCTACAAAACTGGGAGAATATATATGGGCAAATCATTTATCCTATAAAATACTAATATCCAGAATATATAAAGAGCTTCTACAACTTAACAACAACTATTAAAACAGGCAAAGGATTTGGCCAAGGAGAGAATGCCTGTAATCCCAGCTATTAGGAAGGCTGAAGCAGGAAGATGGCAAGGTCCAGGCCAGCTTGGGCAATTTAGCAAGACCTTGTCTCGAAATAAAATAAAAAGGGATGATAGAGCACCCCTAGGTTCAATCCCCATGTCCCACAACAAAATTAATTAATCAAAATGAAAACTAAAGCAGCTCTAGGGGGTTTCTCGATTTCCAAGATCTACATGGACTGGGCAGCGAAGGCAGCTTGCCAGCCAGAGCCTCCAGGGCAC